TCTTTCCCTTTACCTTTCCTTCTTCATTTCTTTTCATTAAATTTAGGTATATCATCTTCACTACTATTTTCTATATTTTTATCACTATAATCATCAACTTCTATTCTTTCATTATTTATATTTAAAGTTAATAAATTTTTTTGTAATTCTAACATTTCATCTTTTCTCTTTGCTTGCTCTATAGATTTACTAATAACAATATCTACTAATTTTGCTTCATAAGGAAATTCGAAATTTTTAGTTTCCCATAATTTATGATGAGGTTGTATATTTATATTAAATTTATCACTAAACTTCTGTATATTTTTTAATAACATACTAAACAGAACTTTAGATTATAAAATTTAATATTATCTATTTTTGCAATTGAGTTACTATTACTAAATCTATTAAATTTATTACCTATTTCAGAAAATTGATTTTCAACTTTTGAACGAAAACTTCCAAAAACATCATTAAAATGCCTTTCATCTGCATTCAAATCAACATTAACTTCTTTTCTAATAGGATATATAAAATTATTATTATTAAAGTCAATACCTTTTTAACTAGATAATTTAATAAGTTAGTTAACAAAAAGTGTATAGCCACCATCCATTGCTAAAACATCATAAGTATTTAATTTATTATATACTTTCATATTTATAAACAACTTCCATCAGAACTTTCTGCACACATATCAGTTTTTGATATATATAATGTCATATCATTTGTATCACTTATAATTCGCATTCTAAGACCATTTTTTTTAAATTTGTATGAAAATAATTTTTCACGTTTTATATCTATATTAACATAATTAATCCTACTATCATGGCTATCAATTATTAATGTTATATGTTTAAATAGTAATAGATTATACTTATGAGCTGATAAAACCCTTAATTTTATAGAAGAAAATATATTTTTAATGATTCATTTATAATTTTATTTATTCTTTTATAATTTTCTTCATCCATCCTTATAATATTTATGAAAACTACTTTGAGGAAGATATCTATTTATATCTATTCCTGAAATACCAGAAACTAAATGGTATAATAAAAATAAACCCTTTTCTATTTCAAAATATGGACCTAGGTATTCTTTGTTTGTATATATTACTATTAAAAAGAAAAAAACTGAAATATAACCTAATTTATTAACTAATTCTTCTTTAATTTCATCTATATGTTTTATATGTTTTAACTCAGTTCTATGTTTATAATTATAATTTAATTTTGGCCAATTTATATCTAAAAATTCCCAATTATTAATAGTAATTTTATCTACTTCATTATTTATTTGTTCTTCAATATTTATTTCAGTTTCCATATTTTATAATATCTTTTTATATATATATAAATTCAATTTTAAAAATTTTCAACCACAAGAATAAATCTCAACCCTTAATTTATTCTCAAGTCTTTACTTTTAATAAAAACAGCAACTAAGGGCTAACCTCCACTATCCCGCACGAATCGATACAACACAAAGTCATTCAAATAAAAAAAACACTTACCAGAGATCAAGAAGCCACCTACCTTGATATTGTGAATCGCAGATGGGGCTTCAGCAACGAGACGTACAAACATATCTTTCATGGTGCGAGGCAGCTTCATTCTTCCTTCTTGGATCGTCTTGGTGCTGTTAATGTCATTCGACAACCTGGCTTCTGTGCATCCATATTCGCGACCATTCGACGAGAAGCGCATATCCACCCTTGTGCCCATGCACTTGCGTGCTAGTTGACCAGTAGAACTAGTGCTCGATCCACGGGTCGCATTTCTTCGCTCTCTAGAAGCTGTACTGCCTCTCTCACCACTATAACAAAGGTATAATTAGTAATTAACCAGATGACATGTCGCATGATACAATTACATGTTCCTAATGTTGAAATCTCTAACCTTTGAACCTTGAGACTGGAGCCGTCAAAACATTTTTCTACAAACTCGCAAATCTGGTGAATTAAATCACTTTCGCTGTGATCTTGGAAAGGCAAGTAGTTGTAAACAAACAGATCTGAGGCCTCAACAATAGCTTTATGTGCCCAATACAACTCTGGCGCTTCAAACGGATCAAAATCGACTTCGCGTCGCCGAGCCACCAAACTCTTGACATCCTTCTATAATATTATAATAATAAACACTGTTTCAGCACCTTATTCTTATGCATTTACTGTTTGGCATATAAGCGACTCACCTTTCCATTGTATGAGAGTAAATACTCCTCAAAATTGGCGGGAAGTTTGGGAAGCATGGGCTTCTTAAAGTTGATGATCGCGTTTAAATCTTCAGGCAAGAAGATGTCTTTCCAGACAGCATCCGTGGGATCGATGATGAGGCAGTGAACGGGACTATCATTAATATATTACGCATTATTCAACATGTAAGTTCTTGTCTAACTTATTCAGATTGTTTAATTTATCCCTATAAACTTACTGGTGGAATTCGTACTGTAATGCAACTTTGTGCATTCCTTCTTCTACATATCTTCTTTCGTCTCCTTGCGTGTTCAAACACCATTTATCTTCGTTGGCGATTTTCTCGAATGTTTCTGCTACATATTTTCGCTGTGATGGTGACAGTTTGGCGTTGGCTTTGGTGGTGGTGCTCTTGGAACCGGAACCAGAGGACGTGGGATCAAGCACAGTATCGTCTGATACAACAAGATCTCGAACACGTTTCCAGGATACACAGTCTGATGGAATCTGTTTGTGAAAATGTAAGTCAGTGGCGTCCTACTATTAGTTGTCTAGCTGTTAGTTGTTTACTGATTTTGTTATAGTTAATAAGCCTGTCCTAACCGGTATAGCCATTAATGGCTGATATAATTTTAATCAAAATCATTACTATCTTCATCTTCACTTCTATTTTCATCTATATATATCTGACTATATTCAATGATTAACTTCTGCATTTGCTCTTGCCATATTTGCATAATATCATCCCTATTTGTTTCTTTTGCTTTTATTAAATCAATATAATATCTAAAGTATGAATTAAAGAACCTTTTATACTTAAATTTTTCCTTTTCAAGTTTTAAAATAAGTTCATCAATAAAACTACAATTATAAGTATCATTTAATTTATCCATACAGGGCTTACATGCAATCATACACATATATTCACCCCTACCTGATTCACATTCATCGTTATCAGAATCACCCTGTGAGGCATCTGCACCAGAGGTGTTTTCTAATATTACATCGGAAATATGAGGATTTGAGGATTGCTGAGAATTTGAATTTTCAGCATATGTTTCTTTTGTCTGTGTATTTGAAATATGAGGAATTTCAAATTGCTGAGAATTTAAATTTTCGGCAACTATTTCTTTTGGAGGTAATGTATTGGGATTTTTATAGTATTTCTCATATTTATGTAATTTTTCCTTTAGTTTTATATTTTCCTTTAATGTTTTCTCAATTTTTTTTAACAGAAATAATATCTCTTTCATTATCCGCTTTATTTAAATTAATTTTAGATGTCTCTTTTTGTTTTTTTGATGCTTTACGTTTTATTAATAATTTATTCTTTTTAATATTATAATTTATATCATATTTTTCATAAATCGTTTCTTCAGCAAATTCTTTAATGTTTATATTATTATTATTTAAAAACATACTTAATTTATTAGTAACAAGGACGATTTTGTCATTGTTGAATGTGATTATATTGTTCATTTTAATATTATGAGGTGCTATTTTTATATAATAAAAAAAATTCAATTTTTATTTTTTCAAAATTTTTAAATATATATATGCTAAGACATACATAATTTAATTTTATGAAAATTATTTTGGTTACACTAACTTATTGTGGCTATTCGTCCAATTAGTACTAATAAACCAGAGCATAATCATTATAACCTCAACCAGTCCCCAATGTCAGTTATTACCAAGTTCGGGCGCAGACTTACTACTTCGACTTCTGCAGACAAGGCACATCGTAAAATTGACTTCCTCTAATTTCTAAGCACGTCTTTTTCTTGGGAAACTCCTTTCAAACTGCCTGCTATTTCTTTCTCCAGTTTATCAACGACAGCTTGTAAAGCAACTTAACCATTGCTTTCGAGGGATTTGATGGCGAGAAGTATTACTAACGAATATATATAACGTATAAGCAGACTGCACCCTTTCACTTCAAGTTTATACTTATACCTTCATCCATCTTGATGTTATTATTATTTGAATTAAGCAAGACGAAGGTAAGAATATGTAGAGCATATTAAACTGTGGACGCAGTGGGTCCTGGACCTAGGTCCCTAGCCACAAGCGGACCTTAATCTCATATGCGTATTTCCAAATTAGGCTCAACGACCGCGCGATAGCGTGGAAGCTCTTGATTCACTGTAATTTATGCATTAACGTCTATAATAAAAGTCAAAGCAAAGAAAAAAAAACCAAGACGACCCCATAGACAGTAGCAGAAACAATTTAGTATACGGGTAGCTAATATGAGATATATCAGAAATTTTCAAAAAGAAATCGCATAAATAGCGCAGACATGCTGAGCTGAATATGCACTTGCTGCTGAGCAAACCAACGCAGATAATACTTTTTGAAAGGAATAGAAGTATCTGTAGGATCATTTGCATTGGACAATGAAGAGTGTGCTAAGCTTGCTCAGCACTTAAAATAGTTGTTTGCACGTAGTCTTAGCATTCTATGTTTGAAAACTATATAAAGTAGGCTTGAAAAGAACGTGTCATGTTTTTTGTCATATCAGTTTTTCTACTACGCTTTCAATATCAACATGCCTCAACAACATCATAACTATTTGTCTCAAATCTACAATACCGGTTCCTCGTCATCCCAATCAGCTAACGAGTTTGCTAGTCAATCAAACAACAATGCCGTTCACGCTGCCGAATTGAATTTGGCCATGCTGCAATCCAGACAATGTACGCAAACAACTACGCAGGAGCTTCGTCCGGACAACACTAAACACGCCTATTACCCAAAGATCAGCGAGTTTTGTAAGTGGTGCGACGAAAAGAAGTTTCCTGAATCCACTCGTTATCAAGTAAATGGCGACAAATTGCACTGGTTTCTTGAAAAAAAAGTAAGTAGTGGTATATTGACAATATTCAAAAGATCGCGTTAATTGTAAAGAGGTTGTATTAAACTAATTATACTACATTTTATGTTTAGGTCATTGGAAGAATCCGACGTCCTACTGGTAAAAAGCAACTACAAGCCAACGAAGATTCTGACCCGAATGACAATGATATCGAAACAGAACAAGAGGAAGTTGAGCGTTACATCGTCGGCTTTAGCACCATCGAGCAGTATGTCAGCGCCATCATCCAATTTTACAACGATCAACTTAAGCTTGGTATCAACACCATCAACAACTACCCACGAACCGCCGATGTCAAGGACTTACTAAAGAACGAAAGAAAGAAGGATAGCAAAAGACGCCGCACGAACTACGAAGATCGCGCTGCTGGGTCAATCTTGAACGGATACTCTACTATGGAAGAATTAGCCAGAATAATCGACTACTTCATTGGCAAGGACAAGTCTGAGCACTATCGCAACGCAGTGATGATGTTGATCTCACACTTTGGTCTCATGCGTGGCGAGAACGTCCGGGAAATCGAGCTGGCCGACATACATACCATTCCATTGGAAAATGAAGGCCCTACTCCAGATATCGAGTGCCCCTGTTTGGTTTTGCTGCTGGACCATGGAAAGACAAACCAATTCGGTAAAATCCAGCACAGGTCCGCCATCTGCTGTGCACATGTCGAAACCTGTCTTTGGATGGCCCTCGGCCTGTATTTCTTCTGTCGTTGGCATGTTGAAGGCGAGGAATTCCCAGATATGTCGCGCCCACAATCCTGGTATAACATCAAGCTATGCAAGACCGACAACGGCGATCTCACCAAGAACATCACCCAGCCTGCGCATTACAAGGCTCTGTCTAAGGCTTTCGAAGCATGTAGGATCAACTCAACAGCCATTACACATGCTGGTAGAAAATCCGGTAGTAAAATGGCAGATCTGGGTGAAGCTGGTGATTCGGCAATTCGACGTGCTGGAAGATGGACCACTGACTCCATGGAGGGATCGTACTTGACCAACTTACCACGGCGATTATTGCGTGCGATGGCAGCTTTCGATGCCAACGGTAAAAATTTCTGGCTACCACGCGATAGCGTTCAGCCTCGAGAAGCTTTGCTCTGTAAAGTTTTCCCATGGATTGAAGAGTGGCAAGAAAAGATCGATCAAGGACTAGGAGACAAAAGTGTTGCGGCAGACGGATTCCTTCAGATGCTGCGTGTTCTTCGAAGGACCTTTTTGCAAGATTCAGTATTAATGATGGAGCGACACCCAGATTTATCTGTTTGGAAGCAGCCTCTGTTCAGCGATCAAGATTATTTGGATTTCAAACCGTGTAAGTAATTGAAATATCATTAAAGAGGTTATTACATGGTGCGATTATATATATATGAGTTATTTACTAATCGTACCTTGATTATTTTTAGTATGTTGAAGACTGCCATTGAAACGGCACCACCACCCGAGGAGCTCACTTTGCAGAAGTCGATGCCAGCTTTGCACAATTACATGCGCGAAATGTATCGCGATCTTTCATAGAAACTAGCTGTCCTTTCTCGAACGGTCGAAGAACAAAATAGAACCATGAATCAATTCATGGGTGATCTGGCAAACGGACGACTGACTATCACGGTGCAATGGAACGCACAACAGCAATCGCAGGCAGCTGCACTCTCTACAACAGCATCAACATCACATCCTACCTTTGCCGCCTCTCCTACATCATCATCCCATCCCGCTTTTGACCAATCCGCCACTAATACCGCTTCAACTACCACTGCATCATCATCTTGTCCTATCCCTACTAACTCGCCCGTGTCTCCACCAAATACAACCATGGTAGCCCAGGCCACGACATCCTCAAGCAGCCAAATGCCAAAGTACAGGATGAGCGAAAACGTCACGAGCATCCCGGATTTACACCGCGAATGGCATTATGGGCTATCCGGAAAACCTGCCATCAAAAAGCTGGAGGCTGATTACGGGAAAAAATGGCGTGGAGACAAGGCAAAATGGGTGTATCGCAGGCAACAAATAGTAAAAGGTATCGACGCGTTTATCGAGTGCCATGGTTTACAGCAGGATGAGCAGCGTGCTTTGGCTATGTTAGAATACTGGCGAAAGCACCCAAAGGCTGAATGGTGTGCTGGAGGAGTCATAAAACCGAAATCCCTGGATTGGATGAGCAAGAATGTTAAGTTGTGGGAACAAGTAGACAAAGTAGATTTCTAAATGTCAATAAATCTGTCATGCCAATATTTAGTTTGTTGTATTCTATGTATTCTATAAAAATCAAGAAAGAACACTTTTCTTTGAGAGTGATACAGTAGAAAGAATAACAATTTATTTTTTCATGAACAGAAAAAATCGATTAGTCTAATTATTACCATGATCGATCAGATTGATCAATGTATACGAAGGTCATTCAAAAAGCATCGATCATGCACGTCCTCCGACAAGACACAAGAGCTCAATGCTGGTTAAGTGAGTAAAATGGCTGAGGACCTCAGGGTTAAAAATGCACTTATTAGCTCGGTCATTGGGGTTTTTTTATAAGAAAAAACCCTGGAATTTTCGAGACCCGCTGGACCTGTGAGGACTTCAGCGGACCCACAGTAAAAATAAGTAGAATGAATCACTGCAGATATGGGGTTTGGTTGCCAGGGTGGTTGCTAGGGTGATTGTTGCGTTGCTTAGTGATTGAGAAGGAGGAAAGGGAGGCAAAAATATGTCATCATGGCAATAAATTGCACGTACCTTTGCACCTGTATATACCTAAGCAGTCACTAAAGCTACTTTAGGCTAGATAATTCACCAGGCGATTTTTAATCCTAATATGTATCGCAACAACCATGAATTTTGATGAGAGCGTTTTTCCCTTTGTTTTTTATTGTTTTACAAGGACGGAGCATGTCCGAGTGATGGATCTTACGTCCATTTGCGCCTTTCTTTCTATCTTTTTTTAACGTGTACAGCTCGATGGCCTCACCCGTTCTGTCTGGTGAGATGTCCCAGCTCAGGGGTTGGCATGTTACTCTTTTCTTTTCTAGTCATTGTACAGCTCGATGGCCTCACCCGTTCTGTCCAGTGAGATGTCCCAGCTCTGGGGTTGGCTTTGGCTATCTTTCTCCCTTCCTTTACATTTATTTCGTATAATGTTTTCTTTCTATGTCTTTTTCTCCTGCTCCTCACATTTCTTCAATTCAGTCAACCATATATCTACATTTATCCTTCAATTTGATTGAACCAGGTAAATGTTAAAGTATTAGTGTTTTACTAACGATTGAACATTATTCTGTAGGTGTCAACACGATGTTATCACGAACTCGCAGTTCGTTGAAAAGTTAAAGTTAGCCTTTACGATATTGGAACTTGAGATTAGTGGATCTGGAGTACCTAGGACTGCCAAAAAGATCGTTATGCTTTTTTCCTGTGATGAAGCTGGCACCCGTGGCCAAGGTTTGTTGCTTATTGAACAACGTGTTACATGCTGCAGCTTCTCACTATTATACTAACCCCTATGCTACTGCTAGATCATATTCAAAGGAAGCGTAGATGCAATTGAAGGGCATCAGCGAAAACCAACAGTTCCAAGCATCACATTCAAGAGACCAGCAGCGACAACCTTATTGCTACCACCGTCATTAACCTTTACAAACAAAAGACAAAAGAGCCAATAGCTCTATAAAACCAAGCATTCCTCTCTCATCATATTCTACTCTGTGCCATCTCTTTCACATCTTCAAATAACAAAAACTTGAGTTTCCACCCTCTACAAACTTCATACATATACCACTGTATAATTGCATGTAAATTCACTTCCTTTTTCTCAAATTGTATCACGATACAGTAGTCCTCCTCCTTCACCGCAAATTTCAATTCCATGGCAAAGGGGTTCTCCATAAATGTTCTTTTCTCCGCTTTAGGATTTATTGAACGACATTCAACTTTCATCAGCTTCTTCTGCTATTACAGTGTATAAAAGAAATCTGAGCCGCCATAACGCAAAATGGTAGGCGCCATCATGGAATCATTAGACGCCAAGATTAAAAAAACACTGCACCATGTTAAAAACATCATCCGCCATCCCTTTTTTCTCAGGCGTCAATGGGACGCCATCAATCACTTGAAATCCAATATATTACTATCCTTATTTTGTGACAAGTGGGGAATAGGGATCCGTATCAGAACCGCAGAACCGGAACCGAACCGAACCGAAACCGAGAAAATACGGTTCGGTTCCTGTCAAGAACCGAACCGGAACCGAACTGGTTCTGTATAAGTAGAACCGAAGAACCGAGAGGCAGAAGATTGCAATCAGCGATTTTGGTAATTAGTATTAAGTAGGCTATGATGGAAGTTACGAACAATGTTATTCCGAAAAGACCACGAAGTAGTGTATTTGCAAGCCATACTTTATTGAAAAACTTAACAAAACCTGCAAAAGCAGAAGGGAGTAAAAAATAGTAAAGAAGAGAAGAACAAAATAAACACTTCTTTTGACAGCAGCTTGCTTTCTCTGCCTATGACGCGCATCATTACTTGTTCCTCTACTTTGCTACCTACAATGCATTTTTCTCTATAACGTACTACTTTACTAGATTTATTATGGCTTCTCGATCAGTTTTATCAAGTTTGTGCATTCCGTTTGAGATTGTGCATTCTGGGGCTCATAACAGAATTATCTTACCCATTCACCCTTTGCCTTTTATGAGACACTATACACTATACACACGTAGAGACACAGCAGCTGTATGTACTGCCGGTTGTGGTTCAATTCCTCCAATATTACGATAACATATTGTACTAGTAATACTAAGTCGCTCTAAGTAAGTACTATAAGCTCCACTTTTTTTCGTAAAAACTGTGCTTTAATCTTTTAACCATGCAATGACCCACATCGTATGAGAATGTTTACATTCTGTTTCTCTTATTCATTTTGAGATCGCTGTTCAATGTACAATTATAAACTATTCTTTTTTACTGCAGTATTCAAGTATACCGCGACATTTGAACACACACATCAGCTTTCATTTAAAGATACCGAATCTTGCCTTTTTTATATACATGATGGGTTCGGTTCTTCGGTTCGGTTCTTCGGTTCTACGGTTCTCGTCGGTTCTAGTCGGTTCGGTTCTTGCTTTAGACGGTTCGGTTTGGTTCCCTTTAAGAACCGAACCGAACCGAACCGTGCGGATCCCTAGTGGGGAACAAAAAATGGATCACACTGAATAGCAGCATCAGCGGATGCCACTGATCGATGAGTCGATCGTGTTCTAACTTTTGGAAAAGGTTACATGTACGTACGCCGTAGATACGATTGCTGGAAGGATTCGATACAGTAATCGGCAAAAAGTACAGAATGAATATATATATAGTACGGATGAAAATCCGCAGGAAATGTATTTACTAGTGCTTCTTAAATGAAAAAAAAAGCAAGAAAAATGAATATATGTACAATCTGGCTGTTTGTGTGTTATGTGTTATGTGTTATATGTGGTAAGTGTGTTTGAGTTTGAGCATGTTGACGTGGTATATGTGTAAAACTTTGTATTGTTTTTATATATTGTGCTTTCATTCGTCAACTTCATCATGGTTACGCTTTCTCGGTGAAAGCTTTGGCGATGATACGCAATCTAGTATCAACGGCGTTGCTTGGCAGTTGTCGGTGGATGGCATGATGATGGTCTCATCTTCTTCTACTATCCTTACCACAGCGTTCATCAATGTCTTCATTTGCCATGTAAGTGCAAGAAGAGGTATCACCTTCTTTGCAAAAACTGTTGGTGAACGCGGAAACTCAAACGGGCCAACTTTGGTAATTCGACATGCTTTACCAGCAGGAGAATCCATGATATATGCAGTGAGGTACAAACCTGACAGATTATATACGAAAGACAAAGCAAACGCCTAAAATGTTGAGTATGATGCGAGTATGGAAAAGATAAATAAGCAAGGCTGAAGTATATATTTATTCTTTGATTAAAGAGCTACGTGCACGTACTGCACAATACTCGCTCGTATATGTGCTCAACCAGCCACCAGAGTATCCACTATACTATCCCGCACGAATCGATACAACACAAAGTCATTCAAATAAAAAAAACACTTACCAGAGATTAAGGAGCCACCTACCTTGATATTGCGAATCGCAGACGGGGCTTCAGCGACGAGACACAATTATATTTTTCATGGTGCGAGGCAGCTTCATTCTTCCTTCTTGGATCGTCTTGGTGCTGTTAATGTCATTCGACAACCCGGCTTCTGTGCATCCGTATTCGTGACCATTCGACGAGAAGCGCATATCCACCCTTGTGCCCATGCACTTGCGCGCTAGTTGACCAGTGGAACTAGTGCTCGATCCATGGGTCGCATTTCTTCGCTCTCCAGAAGCTGTACTGCCTTTTCACCACTATAACAAAGATATAATTAGTAATTAACCAGATGACATGTCGCATGATACAATTACATGTTCCTAATGTTGAAATCACTAACCTTTGAACCTTGAGACTGGAGCCGTCAAAACATTTTTCTACAAACTCCAAATCTGGTGAATTAAATCACTTTCGCTGTGATCTTGGAAAGGCAAGTAGTTGTAAACAAACAGATCTGAGGCCTCAACAATAGCTTTATGTGCCCAATACAACTCTGGCGCTTCAAACGGATCAAAATCGACTTCGCGTCGCCGAGCCACCAAACTCTTGACATCCTTCTATAATATTATAATAATAAACACTGTTTCAGCACCTTATTCTTATGCATTTACTGTTTGGCATATAAGCGACTCACCTTTCCATTGTATGAGAGTAAATACTCCTCAAAATTGGCGGGAAGTTTGGGAAGCATGGGCTTCTTAAAGTTGATGATCGCGTTTAAATCTTCAGGCAAGAAGATGTCTTTCCAGACAGCATCGTGGGATCGATGATGAGGCAGTGAAGGGACTATCATTAATATATTATGCATTATTCAACATGTAAGTTCTTGTCTAACTTATTCAGATTGTTTAATTTATCCCTATAAACTTACTGGTGGAATTTGTACTGTAATGCAACTTTGTGCATTCCTTCTTCTACATATCTTCTTTCGTCTCCTTGCGGTTCAAACACCATTTATCTTCGTTGGCGATTTTCTCGAATGTTTCTGCTACATATTTTGCTGTGATGGTGACAGTTTGGCGTTGGCTTTGGTGGTGGTGCTCTTAGAACCAGAACCGGAGGACGTGGGATCAAGCACAGTATCGTCTGATACAACAAGATCTCGAACACGTTTCCAGGATACACAGTCTGATCGAATCTCTTTGTAAAAATGCAAGTCAGTGGCGTCCTACTATTAGTTGTCTAGCTGTTAGTTGTTTACTGATTTTGTTATAGTTAATAAGCCTGTCCTAACCGGTATAGCCATTAATGGCGATATAATTTTAATCAAAATCATTACTATCTTCATCTTCACTTCTATTTTCATCTATATATATCTGACTATATTCAATGATTAACTTCTGCATTTGCTCTTGCCATATTTGCATAATATCATCCCTATTTGTTTCTTTTGCTTTTATTAAATCAATATAATATCTAAAGTATGAATTAAAGAACCTTTTATACTTATATTTTTCCTTTTCAAGTTTTAAAATAAGTTCATCAATAAAACTACAATTATAAGTATCATTTAATTTATCCATACAGGGCTTACATGCAATCATACACATATATTCACCCCTACCTGATTCACATTCATCGTTATCAGAATCACCCTGTGAGGCATCTGCACCAGAGGTGTTTTCTAATATTGCATCGGAAATATGAGGATTTGAGGATTGCTGAGAATTTGAATTTTCAGCATATGTTTCTTTTGTCTGTGTATTTGAAGTATGAGGAATTTCAAATTGCTGAGAATTTAAATTTTCGGCAACTATTTCTTTTGGAGGTAATGTATTAGGATTTTTATAGTATTTCTCATATTTATGTAATTTTTCCTTTAGTTTTATATTTTCCTTTAATGTTTTCTCTATTTTTTTTAACAGAAATAATATCTCTTTCATTATCCGCTTCATTTAAATTAATTTTAGATGTCTCTTTTTGTTTTTTTGATATTTTACGTTTTATTAATAATTTATTTTTTTAATATATAATTTATATTATATTTTTCATAAATGTTTCTTCAGCAAATTCTTTAATGTTTATATTATTATTATTTAAAAACATACTTAATTTATTGTATCAAGGACGATTTTGTCATTGTTGAATGTGATTGTACTGTTCATTTTAATATTATGAGGTGCTATTTTTATATAATAAAAAAAATTCAATTTTTATTTTTTCAAAATTTTTAAATATATATATGCCAAGACATACATAATTTAATTTTATGAAAATTATTTTGGTTAACTAACTTATTGTGGCTATTCGTCAATTAGTACAGTAAACCAGAGCATAATCATTATAACCTCAACCAGTCCCCAGTGTCAGTTATTACTAAGTTCGGGCGCAGACTTACCACTTCGACTTCCGCAGACAAGGCACATGTAAAATTGACTTCCTCCAATTTCTAAGCACGTCTTTTTCTTGGGAAACTCCTTTCAAACTGCCTGCTATTTCTTTCTCCAGTTTGTCAACACAGCTTACAAAGCAACTTGACTTTGCTTTGAGGGATTTGATGGCGAGAAGTATTACTAATGAATATATATAACGTATAAGCAGACTGCACCCTTTCACTTCAAGTTTATACTTATATGGTGCATACTGACTTGAATCGTTAATATATTTAAATACCGACCCAAAAAAAGAAAGTGTATCAGAGTTGTCAAAGTGAATTTTCTGAGATTCTGACCAGTAAGATGTGTTTAATAGCATATTATAAGCATTTCTTACTCATTACTTTATAAAAAAAAGGTGTTTTAGAGAGCTCTGATAGCCATCAAAGTTTTGTCAGAATATGAAAATTTACTATATAGACCCAAGATTTGACAAGGTGGGAGGGGTAGATCAGTGAGGTAATGTAGGCTATTACAGTCTGTGTAACATTGCATTAGTCATGGTTACACAAACTCGTTATACTCATTATCATACTGCTTTTTCACAAGGGTTGTGTTTCCTTCATTGATACTCGCTCATTGTAGTGAAGCTACACTACTTTGAGATTGATCAAATAAATCAACCCACTCACCATCTTCGTAACCATTAAAATGCAGTAGAGAGAACATCACACACATAGAGGCTCAATCCATAACAATTAATTTTACTGTAAACAGTAAATTAATTTTAGTTAAGGATTTCACAGTCAAGCTAGCCTTCGTCCAGGTGTTCCTCGGCTAGAGAAGGGATTTGCTCACTACTGTTGCGCCACTTAGAGTGTTATAAACCTAATAGTTGAGAATAAACCCAAGGGTTAAGAATTTTATAGGGGTTGAGAAATTATTTTTTTAAACAAAAAATTAATTTCATGATTTATTATAAACACTTAAAAATTATATTACTTATAATTTTTTACATGTTTATAATTTCACCAAAAACATGAAACTAGGGTTTACCCCCTATAGATGTATCAAATATTACATAATTAGCACCATATTGATAATCTCTCAAACATGGATCACAATCGAGAATGACTCAGGACCAACTATTATCAATACTTCGTTGCAATATAATATCGTAATCTCTCAAACATGAATCAGAATCGAGGATAACTCAGTACCAACCATTGTCAGTACTTCGTTTCAATCTACATTATCTGAGTTGAGCGAAGTGTACCTATCAAAGAGCGGATATCATACGTCGATACTACAACCGTTACTAGCGTTATATCCAAGCATATAAGGATATGAAAGACGATCGTGAAGCTACTAAGATCGTAGAGAAATTTACTTCTAGAAGTTACAAATCCCACCGTAGAATTATTGCAAGTGATTAGTTTGTATTTTTACCTCCGTTATTTCTGACTTTCATAAATAAATGAGTATAGCTATCGATCATGTAATTCCCTGACTAGTGCAAAACATAGAGTATGATATATGAAGAAGCGTATTAGGTGTTTCGGGTGTTAATTTAGCCGCGGTGTTTCAAACATTTTCAATTTTCGACAGCTCATAGTTTAAGTCAGTATGCACCATACAGAATGAATATATATATAGTACGGATGAAAATCCGCAGGAAATGTATTTACTAGTGCTTCTTAAATGACAAAAAAAGCAAGAAAAATGAATATATGTACAATATGGCTGTTTGTGTGTTATGTGTTATGTGTTATATGTGGTAAGTGTATTTGAGTTTGAGTGTGTTGATGTGGTATATGTGTAAAACTTTGTATTGTTTTTATATATTGTGCTTTCCTTCGTCAACTTCATCATGGTTACGCTTTCTCGGTGAACGCTTTGGCGATGATACGTAATCTGGTATCAACGGCGTTGCTTGGCAGTTGTCGGTAGATGGCATGATGATGGTCTCATCTTCTTCTACTATCCTTACCACAGCGTTCATCAATGTCTTCATTTGCCATGTAAGTGCAAGAAGAGGTATCACCTTCTTTGCAAAAACTGTTGGCGAACGCGGAAACTCAAACGGGCCAACTTTGGTAATTGACATGCTTTACCAGTAGGAGAATCCATGATATATGCAGTGAGGTACAAACCTGACAGATTATATACGAAAGACAAAGAAACGCCCAAAATGTTGAGTATGATGCGAGCATGGAAAAGATAAATAAGTAAGGCTAAAGTATATATTTATTCTTTGATTAAAGAGCTATGTGCACGCACTGCACAATACTTGCTCGTATATATGCTCAACCAGCCACCAGAGTATCTACTATACTGAGGGTTAATACTATGCTTATATTTGAGATTTTATAATACATTTTATGTAAATTATTGAATTTTTTTGACTTCGGAGTTCTAAATTATATATATTATAAAATTTTATTTTAAAAATAAAATTGAATTTTTTCTATTATATAAAAATATACTCTAAATAGTTGCTCTAAATGAATTTCTCCTAATCAATCATATCAGTTATCTTTAAATTTATGTAATGAATTAGATACCTTTATACAATCTGAATTTGATCATTTTATAGAACAAAATATTATTAAAAAATTTCAAAAAAAATTCAAAAAAATAAAAATTTATTCTCATCAGACCATTTTCTATACCTTTCTATGTATAACAATTTTTGTGTTCATAAGTTTAAACGAGGAATAATAATGGTAAATTCTGTGGAAAAAAAATAACTAAAAATGGTGATAAAAAGAAATTTGTCTGTAGAAAACATAATCTAGATCATGTTCCTAAAAAAAAAAAAATAATAAAAGAAAAAGTGAAAATATTATACAAGAGGTAGATAATCTTATTATAAAAAGAGAAAAAAAAAGAAAACCAATAAAAATAACTATAGGTAATCCTTATTTTTTATGCTTTAATAGTATTCTTCCTTAATAGTTATATTTCTATATTTATACTGTGCTTTTCTATATATTCTACTAATAAATCTTTCTCATTAAATTTATCAGCTGATAACAGCTATTATGTTTATGGCTATAATTTTTCCATTTAATTGAGAACATATATATATCATTTCATATTTATGACCAACAATTTTTTCTTTTCATATGATTCACTATTATCTCCTATATTTCTTACAAATTGTATGTTATTTTCTCTTTCTTTCCCTTTACCTTTCCTTCTTCGTATCTTTTCATTAAATTTAGGTATATCATCTTTACTACTATTTTCTATATTTTTATCACTATAATCATCAACTTCTATTCTTTCATTATTTATATTTAAAGTTAATAAATTTCTTTGTAATTCTAAATTTCATCTTTTCTCTTTGCTTGCTCTATAGAATTACTAATAACAATATCTACTAATTTTGCTTCATAAG